ACTGGGCGGGGCCCCGCGCCGGTCCGTGGCATCCGCGCGGGCCCTCGAGCGTGCATCTCTCTCTCTCTGTGCCGCTCGCTTCGGGGCGGCTGGGGCCGGTGCCGGCCGCGATCTCGCGGGAGAGTTCGTCGGGGGCGGAAAAGAGGGGGGTGATGACTAGGGGGGGGTGGATATCATGGCGTGGGCCATGGTATTTCCCCAGATCTCATGGCGCCTCCTCTTGTTTCATTACGTCCCTGGCCCCCCCGCTGGGCCGCGCACATGCCGCCGGTCATGATTTGCATCCCCCCCTCTTGGACACCCCCCTCTTGGCCGCTCCCGAGTTCGGAGGATGCTTGTGCTCAGTGGGGCTGCTAATCATACTCGTAGTGCACTCTTAGCAGTAGTAGCAAGGGTAGTGAGGATGAGAAAGATGATGCTGAGCAAGATCATGATAAAGAGAAAGTTCAGAGAGCGTGCACCGCACGAGTTCGGCAGGAGTCACCCCCGAGGCGGGAGAGGCCCGCCTCCCCCCCCGACGGCATCCCGGAGGCCACGGCGGCTCGCGATGCTGCTGCCTGCATCCGCGGGAACCTTCGAGGGGTGGCCGAAAGAGGGGGTCCCGAGGGGTGGGATCTATGCAGTGATTGTTCTCCTCGGCAGCAACGCGTGGGAGCTGTGTGCGGGTGTGTGTGTGTGTGTGCGTGTGTGCGTGCGTGTGTGTGTGTGTGTGTGTGTGTGTGCGTGTGTGTGTGTGCGTGTTCTCGAGCTGTCGACGGAAACACTTCGCTCTCCCTCCGGGACTTCGCCTCCGGCTCCTGTCCAAGGCGTACCTTTTTTTGTGCAAGCAAGCTCTTCGGCACCGCCTGCACCCCGCGCCCTCCGGGCGCCTGAGGCCCCGCCCGCCCGCGCCCTGTCTCCCCAATTGGTGCTTTGCGCGCCCCGCTGAGCTCTTAACCGGAAGAGGCCCGCTCTCGACCCGCAGACCAAAAAACGTGTGTGCGTGTTGTCGAGATTCCGTCTCTAGACTGCACTGGCCTGTGCTGGCGTTTGGTGATCGATGAGAGAGCGCCCAATCTGGCGCCGGCTAGCGTCGGTGCAGCGCTGACTCGCGCCGCTTGCGTCGGTTAGCGTCGGTGAGTGTCGATTCGCCAGAGCCGGCAAAATGACACGGGAGGCTCCCACGAGTTGCCGACGTGCGCCATGTTTCGAGCCAGCTCGATCCGTGAGGGTCCCGAGGCTGGGAGCAAGGCGAAGACGCCCGGCGCGAAGACACTGAGACGCCAGGACCTCGGGGTCATCGTGCCGCTGGGTCTCTGCCTGCATCGGCTCGGCGAGCGGGAATCCGCGAACTATGGCACAAGTTCGCCAGGGACTGGAGTTCACTCGTGCACAGGAGCGACATGTGAGGGCTGCGGACCTGCGGCTCGTCCCCGCACCTTGGCCGCACACGGCGCACCTCGCCTCGACGATCGGCGGCAAAACCCGAACCCTCCTGTCGCCGATCAACGACATCAGGCAGCTCGATGAGCGGAGGGGGCAGGGTTCGGAACTCGTCGACGACGTGGCGGGTTCGGATGTTGGTGGGGGTTAGGGCTCGGATGTCGCCACCTAGCCTTGCCTTCGCCTCATGCAGTACCTTCCCCGTGATTGCTGTCCCGGGCCTCGGCGCCGGAGGGCACGCTGCGGCACGCACGGCCTCGCGCGACGCCTCTGAGAGAGGCAGGCGGCCGCGTCGGGGGGGGCATAGGTGCTGCAGTGGCTGCCTCTGCCCGCCCGCCCGTGGCTGGAGTGGTGTGCGCTGCGCCACTGCTCTTCCCTCTGCCTCCTCCTCGTCCCTCTTCCTGCTCCCCCTCCTCCTTCGTCCTCCTCCTCCTCCTCCTGCGATTCGGTAAACTTGGATCGGCTAGGATCGTAGCGTTCGGCTGGCAGATCAGCCGACCTGGGCGGAGTAGCAAACATTGGGACGTCAGCTCGCAGCGGTGAACAGAACTGCCGAGCGAAGCGGAACGAAAAATCGGGGGTGGACAGACCTCCCACCCTGACACGTCGATTAGTGAATTGGCCGTTTTCGGCTCGCGAGAGGGCGTCGCGGCCGTCATTTTTGCAGGTCCAGGTCCGTCGGTTTCGGCCCCAGGCCGCTTTCACTGAGGGGAGGTCTACTAAAGGGAGGTTTGTCCACCGCCGAAAAAAGGTTACGTAGCCTGCTAGGGTCGGGCAGCCCCTGGGCCGAAGTCTGCCGCGACGGATTGCAAAAACAAAAAAACAAAAAAACCCAAGATACGAAGGATTGCAAAAAAAACACTTGAACGAAGGATTGCAAAAAAAAACCCAAGATACGACGGTTTTTTTTGCAATCCTTTTTTTTTGTTGTTGCAATTTTTGCGCTCTCCGCCCCTGCTGCGGCCCGCCCCCGGGGCCGCCCTCTCCCACCCCGCGGTGCCGCGCAGGAGCGCCGGGCTACCCCGCGCCGCAGCCCGCGCCCTTCCTGTGCGACCACCCGATGAGGCTCATCGGGCAGGTGGGGCGCTGCGGGGCCGGAGGGGTAGCTGGGGGCCCAGACCCCTTCGAGTTATGAAAAAATCACGACGGGAGGTTTTTCATTATTTTTGGCCTTTGGGGGCCCTTACCAGCCCTCGGGACCGTCAAAAAACGACTCAGGACGAAAAATTGGTCCCGGGAAATGGGTCGAGACCTCGGGGGGTCGACATCATGAAAAAATCATGACGTCGGGGGTCTGGGAGAGGAGGTGCACCAGCTGTTCACCTGCACTGGCCCTGGCCACGCCGATCCTGGGCCCAGGCATGGTCCAGACGCCCGGCGCCTCGAGGAAATCGAGGTGCCGGTTTTTCACAGCTTCTGGCTCGTCAGGGCCCTTGCCGGGCCTGGGGACCGTGAGGGAGCGACCCGGGGCAGAAGACTGGTCCGGGGGAGGTGGTCGAGAGCTCGGGCCGGAGGGTTCCAAAGGTTTTCCAGGAGGGGGTTTTCCAGGAGGGGGTCCCCCAGGGGCTTCGCACCCCCTGTTTTGACGAGGTCCCTGGGGGGCTCTCTGGAGAACCCCCTCCCCAAACACCCCCTCTGGAACCTGCTGGTCGGAGGCCCGTGCCTCGAACAAAGGCGAGACGCCAGAGGTGCGGGGGGGTGCAGGTGCCCTCCTGCCCCAGCCAGGAGGGTGCGCGCGCCGATCCTGGGCCAGGAGGGTCGGCCTGGCCAGGAGCGGGGCAGGGTGTGTCGGGTTGGCGTCCTCCTCGGGGGGGGCAGGGCGGGGCGGGGACGGCGGGGGGGGAAGGTCACAGCGGGGAGGCGCGGGGAGGAGTGGCGCGCGAGGGACCGTCACCTTCCCCGTGCAGTTCGCGCTCGTCGGTCTTCCGCCCCGCCGCCCTTCACGCGCTCCTCCTCTCCCTCCTCCTCCTCCTCCTCCTCCTCCTCCTCCTCCTCCTCCTCCTCCTCCTCCTCCTCCTCCTCCTCCTCCTCCTCCTCCTCCCCCTCCTCTTCCTCCTCCTCCTCCTCCCCCTCCTCCTTCTCCCCCTCCTCCTCTTCTTCCTCCTCCTCCGCCGAACGTGGGCCCGTGGCGCGGGCGTGTTCTTGCCAGTCGCAGGCTTCGCGTTGCCGCGGGCAGGGAGCTCTGCCGAGTTCTGCGGTTCCTGGCGGCACCGCGCGCGTCCCCGCGCGAAGGATGCCCCGGGGCCTGGGCCACCTGCATCTGCGAGTGCCCGTCGCGGGTTGCGCGCTACTAGTCTGCGGGCCGCAACGCTGCGCAGCCTGCGCGTTGATTGCGTGCAGACATGGCCAGTGCTTGCCGTGCTTGATTTGCAGGGCGATTTCCTATTGCATCGTCGCTGCGGTCATCGCCTTTATCTCCCTTGTGTCCAGTTTCGTAGTCGACTGGCACGCGGGCAGTTCCAGCGTCTGGAGTGTCATGTAAGTAATGTTTGTGTTTGTCGTCAAATGTTTCCCAGCTTCGCATATGTAGGTCCCCTCTCCAAGTTCGTGGGTCCAGCGCGTTGGTTCTCAGGGGCCTAGCTGGAAGGCTCCATAGCCACTTCGAGCCATCTTTGGGCTTTCTTGGGCCTCTTGTAGTTAGCCATGTTGGAAACTATCTTGGGCCACTTTCGGCCATCTTGCACCATCTCGATGGGCTGGGGTCATCCCGAAGCCATTTTGGGGCATCTGGGGTCTTCGACACTCTGACGGTCCGCGGCGACCCCGATCCAGATCCTTTCGGGGGGGGGTGCTGCGCAGGGTGAGGGACATACCATTCTCCTCCGTAGCCGACGAGGGGCCAATTCTTGCCTAGTTGGCGGCCGATGCTATTCAGCCTCAGAGGGTTGTTGGGATGTTGATTCCCAGACATGCGATATCTGGATTTTTTCAGTATGCGGTCCCCAGACGTCCCGACCTTCTGCCCGGGACCGGCATCTCATACCGAATATTTCTTTGCAGGCCTCAGGGCTCGGCGAGCGCCCCTGGAGGCTGAAAGCGATGAGGAATCTCCGTTTTCATCTTTTCAAGAAGTTGCCTGTCTGGGTTCATGTGGGATGTATTGCGTTATCAAAGACGCCTACGGCGAATCACTGCCGCCCCCTGTCTTTTGGAATCACCCATGTGGCCGAACGTTGTGGTCAGAGCTCTGCCAAGCAATCGGACCATGTGTTCCCCCAGCCGTTATGGAAATCCTTCGGGGAGCATGCGGGGGAGAATGAAGAAACGGAGAAGAGGGAGGGAACTATTGAGAGTAGGAGGATGAGGAGGAGGAGGAGGAAAAGGAGGAGGACGAGGAGAAAGTAAGGAGGAGGAGGTGGAGGAGAAGGAAAAGGAGGAGGAGGAGGAGCTTGAGGAGTAGGAGGCAGAAGAGGAGGATGAGGAGGAGAAAGGGGAAGAGGAGGAGTTTGAGGAGGAGTTTGATGATGATGATTATGATGATGATGATGGTGATGCTGACAATGATGATGATGCTGAGGATGCTGCTGCCGATGATGAGGATGATGCTGCTGCCGCTGATGAGGATCATAAGGATGATGGTGATGCTGCTGCTGATGAGGCTGCTGATGATGATGTGGTTGTTGATGCTGTCGCTGTTGCTGTTGCTGTTGCGGATGCTGTTGCTGTTGCTGCTGCCGCTGCTGCTGTAGTTGTAGTTGTAGTTGTAGTTGTAGTTGTAGTTGTAGTTGTAGTTGTAGTAGTAATAGTAGTAGTAGTAGTAGTAGTAGTAGTAGTAGTTGTTGTTGTTGTTGTTGTTGCTGTTGTTGCTGCTGTTGCTGCTGCTGCTGTTGGTGTTGTGATTATTGTTGCTGTGGCTGTTGCTGTTGCTTTTGTCGTTGACGTCGTCGTCGTTTGTTGTTGCTGTTGTTGCTGTTGCTACTGCTGTTGTTGTTGTTGCTGCTGTTGCTGATGCTGTTGCTGTTGCTGTTGCTGTTGTGGTTGTTGTTGTTGTTGTTGTTGTTGTTGTTGTTGTTGTTTTTGTTTTTGTGGTTGGTGTGGTTGTTGTTGCTGCTGCTGTTGTTGTTGTGGTGGTTGCTGTTGTTGTTGAGTTCTCATGTCTGAAGAATATTTGTTGTTGTTCCCCCCCGTCCGGTGCACATGATGTTTTTCGACTGAAGTGCCTTTCCCGGGGCTCGTACCCACTTAAGGGTCAAACTGTGTCTTTGGCCCCCGGTTTACAACAACAACGGCTCCCGCCTGAAACTTCTTCACAATTTAGCCAGGACACCCGCTCCCGCCCGAGACTTCCTCGCATTTGATTCCGGACTCGCGCTCTCGCTTGGTATTTCCTTACAATTTGTTCAGGAATCGCTCTCCCGGCGCTCTGGAGTCGCGCTCTCGCTGGAGATTTGCTTGCAATTTACTGACGAGAAGCGCCCTTGCGTTGGAATTTCTTGCAATTAACTCAAGCGCCGCGCTCCCAACACTCAGGCACCCAGGAGTCGCGCTCACGCTTAGGACTCCCTCACAGATTATTCAGGAAACGGAATCTCGCTGCCTTTCGTGGCCCCGTTGCAGCCCGTCGTGGTTCCCTCGCTGCCCTTCGTGGACCCGTTGCAGCCTTTCGTGGCCCCCTCGCTGCCCTTCGTGGCCCCGGTGTAGCCCTTCGTGGCCCCCTCGCTGCCCTTCGTGGCTCCGTTGCAGCCCTTCGTGGCCCCCTCGCTGCCCTTCGTGGCCCCCTTACTGCCCTTCGTGGCTCCCTCGCTGCCCTTCGTGGCTCCGTTGCAGCCCTTCGTGGCCCCCTCGCTGCCCTTCGTGGCCCCGTCGCAGCCCTTCGTGGCCGCCTCGCTGCCCTTCGCGGCCCCGTTGCACCCCTCCGTTGCCGTCTCACTGCCCTTCGTGGCCCCATATATGTATGCCCTTCGTGGCCCCCGCTCGTTCGCGCTCTTCGTGGCCCCATATGCATGCCCTTCGTGGCCCCGCTGTCGCCCTTTGTGGCCACCTCGCTGCCCTTCGTGGCCCCGTTGCCGCCCTCAGTGGCCCCGTCTTTGCCCTCCGCGGCCCAATATATGTATGCCCTTCGTGTTCCCCGCTCGTTCGCGCCCGTCGTGGCCCCATGTGCATGCCCTTCGTGGCCCCGTTGCAGCCCTGTGTGGCCCCCTCGCTGTCCTACGTGGCCAAGTTGCTACCCTCAGTGGCCCCGTCGTTGCCTTCGGTGGCCCCGCATCATCTGCCCTTCGTGGCCCCCGCTCGTTCGCGCTCTTCGTGGCACCATACGCATTCCCTTCGTGTCCCCGCTGTCGCCCTTCGTGGCCTACTTCTTGACCTTGGTGGCCCCGCTGTCGTTGTCTCTCTCGCTCTCGCTTTCGCTCGTCGTCGTCGTCGTCGCCGTCGTCGTCGTCGTCGTCGTCGTCGTCGTCCACGTCGTCGTCGACGTCGTCGTCGTCGTGGTCGGTCCCCTGTCCGTCCCTCTTGGGGTCGGGTTGCCGCCGATCAGCGCTGCCGCTGGCCAGGCCGACGGTCCGCGGCCTCCCCGCCGCTTGCCGGGGCCCGGCCTGCAGGGAAGAAAGGTATACCCCCCCAAAGGGGTACGATCGAAGACGAAGAGGGTTTGGGAAATACGCGTTAACGGACACTCGAGCAGATAAGAGCGAACAGTCTTTCAATGATTGTTGTTGTTGTGATTACTGTTGTTGTTGCTGTTGCTGTTGTTGTTGCTGTTGTTGTTGTTGCTGTTGCTGTTGCTGTTGCTGTTGTTGTTTTAGTTGTTGTTGTTGTTGTTATTGTTGTTGTTGTTGTTGTTGTTGTTGTCGTCGTCGTTATTGTTGTTGTTGTTGTAGCTGCTGCTGCTGTTGCTGCTGCTGCTGCTGTTGTTGTTGTTGTTGTTGTTGTTGTTGTTGTTGTTGTTGTTGTTGTTGTTGTTGTTGTTGTTGTTGCAGTTGTTGTTGTTGTTGTTGTTGTTGTTGCTGTTGTTGTTGTTGTTGTTGTTGTTGTTGTTGTTGTTGTTGTTGTTGTTGTTGTTGTTGTTGTTGTTCGTCGACCGTCGCGTGATCCTTTGCCCCCCAAGAACTCAAAAAACCTCCCCGTCCGCGGCGGCGC